AATCTAGTATACTTTTTTAAATATAATTAAATTATACAAATTTCAAATCATTTTTTATAAAATATAAATATATTCAAATAATTATTTTAATGAATAAACAGATTCTTTTACCAAATAATATTTACTAATACTATTTCTTTTATTTAACTATACAAATCTTTATAACTTTTATTATATTCTTTAATTGAAACTGCATTATATAAAACTTTTTATATGATATTTTATTAAGTAAATTTGTAAAAGTTATATTTCAAGTATATAGGCATCACAAAAATAAAATAATGAGTAGTCATATTTTAATAAAAATATTAATTAAAAATCTACTTGGCTCTACTTAAATCACAATTAAAATTCTTTATATAATAATACTAACTTTAGACTTAATTAACTAAAATTTTTTAAAACAAAAATCCTTTTTAATAAGTTATCAACATATTTACTATACTATACTATTTATACAAACTAATATTTAGACACTATTTGCTTTAATTGTAACTTATTCAACTTCTACTTTTACTAACATACTTATACTAACCTATTTTTATTTAACTAAATTATATATTCAAATTTCTATTAATTAAATTATTTTTAATAATTTGCCTAATCTTAATATTTGTCAAAAATATGATTTAATTAACAAAATTTTCTATTGTTTAGTTTTTAATTTACTATATATATTATCTAATATTTTTTATTTTATTTTTATTTTTAAAGAATTTATTTCAAAGTTTCAAAACTCTAATATTTTATATAAAACTGCTTTTTAAATTATTATTGATATTTTTTTTAATATTAATAAATAATTATATAAGTAATTATGAAAAACATATTGTATTTACTTTTTTAATTAGAAAAAACAACAATATAAATTTTAATATTAACCAATTAATTAGTCTTTAAGATTATCTAATCTAATTACAAAATACTTATATCTTTGAAGAAATTATATTTACTTATAGTTTGGTAGATTTTCTAATCAATACATTCTTGTTCAAATACTATTCTTCTATCAGTTAAGCAATTTGTAAAGTTAATATTTGATTTATTTTTTTTTTATTTTTTTTTTTAGATGACCTCTTTGGTCTTTTGACTTTTATTAATCACTTATTGGTATTGTGGTTCAATAAACTACTACAGAAGAGCATACAATTGGCTATATGTATAACTTTTTATATTACCTATTTAAGGAGTCTGCCTGAAGGTTCCTCATCAATTGCTATATCTAACACCTCTGCTTGGGTGTTCCACTTTAAACCCTCTAAATCTGTAAGCTGTGTTAACATTACTAGTTATCTCAGATGTACCAGATCATCATCCTCAACCTTAGGACTAATTTATCCTCAAGGTAAACCCTTCAGAGCCTTCTGTACTTATTTTTATAGCTAACCTAGATATTGCTATAGCAGAACCAACTAGGAATACGATTCATTAAAAAAATATCATCCAGATATAATTCAGATATACTTTAAATAATCCAGATTTAATCTGGATTTTTACGGATATAAAAAATTTTTGGATAATCCGGATTTTAATATATAATCCGGATACAAATTAATTAATCTATAAAAAAAAGCTAATAAAAAGTATACATATTATTGTTATTTTTTATTTTATTTTTATTTATTATTTTATAGATATTGGTTAATCGAAATTTGAAAATTTAACTAAATCGTCACAAATAAAAGAACTAATATATATAAAATATCCGTGACTAAATTAATACTAGCAGAAGCTTTCATCATGAAATCTTGGTAATTTTAAGCACAAAATCATAATCCTGTCACAGACAAAAGTCTGACAAACTAATTTTTATTAAAGAATCCCAATATATAATTGTACGAATTAAATAAATAAAAAAAATATAATAAATGTTTAACTTATTTTAAAACACTAGTAAAAAAAAATAAATAATAAAGTTATAAATAAAAACTTTAATGCTTGTCCTATACTGTAATATCCAACTGATCTTTTATTTTTTTAATAATCGTTATAACTTTATAGTTACAGTACTACTACTTCGCTTTAACTCTTCTTAAAAAATCTATGAAACTTGTCTCTCAACTTCATATTGTTAGCTTATATTATGGTCAAGTTTTTTTGTTAGTTAAGATTATGAAGAATAAGTTTTCAAAAATAAAAATCAGTCTAAACTATTAAGTTTAATTAATTTGTTGTACCTATAGGTATACATGTTAACAAACTCCCAAACTATTATAGTTTGGGTTTGGGCTGGCCCAAATCCCAAATTCTGGCCAAACTCATATCTTAAAAATCTTTTTAATAATCTTTATTTAAACAAATCAGATATATATTTAGGCTATATATAATATATCTGCAAAATTTTAAGTTTACTTTTTTGATTCAATTTTTTATAAATAGCAATTGTATTTTTGAGGTTTGGGATTTATTTGGGTTTTGCCAACAAGTATACTTATAGGTTAAACTTAAATGTTCAAACATACCTCTCATCTAACTTTCAAATTACTTTATGAATTACTGAATTACTTTAACAGTTTATAGATTAAGGCATGAACTTACTTCCTAGGAATTTGTATTCATAGCTTGAAATTCGAACTTGTGACAGAAAATCATTACTTTAATAAGACTTTTTTATGATAAGATAATCTACAAAAATTAGCCAATCATAATAAAGCCTGCTATGCTTTGTAATTGTATGTTTAAAACAAAGGTTAGATTGTTTCTTTTTTATGCAAGAGCATTTAAGGGCCTTTGATTAGAAGAGAAGATTATCTTTCTTTTCATATTGCATGTTTTGTGTATAGGCTGGCTCTATTATTCTACCCCTTGTACCTGTGGCTCTGTTTATTTACTGGCAATCAATTCATGGTTAGAGATAGGTTTCATGCATGCATATGATTGCAGAATCATGTGCATTAATGTGCATTCATATGCATGATTCTGCTTTATGCCAATTTTATCCCATCAAGATTTCTCTCCTCTCGATTATTTTTTCATGCGCATAAAACATTTCATGTGCATTAATGCACATTAATGCACATTCATGTGCATGTTATTATAATATATACATTTTTCCCATCACTAAGTATGGTTCATCAACAATCAATTCACTGACAGTCATTTTACCAAAAAAGTTATTCTAAACATCACCATTAGAGTCAGGTTTAGAATTAGTTAAAGTTAGTGTAATTTGTAAAAAAAAACTTGTTAGTGAAATAAACTTGTCAATGAATTGATTGTTTGATGAATTGCACTGTCAGTGAAATGACACGGACCCCTTATAGGCATCTTAATAATATGTAAACTAAAAATAATAGATTGGCCTGTATTTGACAGGTTTTAATAGTAATAGTTATTATTAATAGGTTTTATGGCTGTTGCAGGCAGTGCAAGACCTCATGTTTAGTAATTAAGTTATATCTATAATAACAGTGCAAGAACCTCATTTAGTGATTAATTCTCACAACTACTGTGGCAATGCAAAGACCTCATATTGTAATTAGGCACTATAGCTGTGATAGTAATAAAAAGACTTCATGCTGTAATTAGGCTCTATGACTGCTACAGGCAGTGCAAGAACTGCATGTTTGGTAATTAAGCTTTGCAATCATAATAGCAGTGCAAAAACCCTATATGTATCTCTAAGCCTTTAAAATATTATAAACAAATTGATTGTTTGTTATATCTAAGCCTTTTTATTTTTATTTATTTATTATTAAAATATAAGCTATATTTTGCTTTTGTTAATAAAAATTTATTAAGGGTGCTTAAATTTAGCTTATATTAAAGTAAAAATAGATTTGCTTTTGTTAAAGAAAAAGCTATATTTGGCTTTGATTTAAACAAAGCAATGTTTGAGTTTTGATAAAGTAAAAGCCAAATTTGCTTTTGTGATGCTAAGTGAAAATCTGGAATTTTTATTAGATAGCATTTTCAGATTTTCACTTGGCATTACTCAGATAAAATTTAAATTTATTGTATAAAAACAAAATTTAAAAATTTTAAGTTAAATTTTATTAACTAAAATAAGTAAAAATTTAAGCGATAATTTTGAAGATAATTGGGAAGAATCTGTTGAATCTAATACTATATTAGAAGAATCTAGTAAAATTATAGAGCTTAGTAAAAATGAAGAAGATATAAAACAAATTGCCAAAAAATTCAAAAAAAAGGTTTGAAAAATAATGAATTTGTAGTAAAATTAAACAAAATTAAATTAGTAATAAATCTTGTAATAAATATAGCGTAAAATTAAATAAAAGAAAAAAACCAAGTTTTACCTATCAATATTTTAATACTATAATTGAAGATAATATTAAAAAGACTTGTTGTAAAGTCATAAATGATAAAGGAGAACGTTGCTCTTAAGAATATAAAAATTTAGGTGGTTCTACAGGAAATTTGATTACTTATCTTCATGATGCTCACTCAATCATTGATCCAGATACAGATGAACAATCTAAAGCTAAAAAGGCAAGAAAATTACTTTAGAGTACTTTTTAAATCACTGTAATCAAAAAATTCTATATATATATTATACCTAGTAATGGGGAAAATGTGCATAAATGCACATTAATGTGCATAAAATATTTCATGCACATGATATCGCATGATAAAAAAAGGCAAAAAAAAAGAAAAAATAATCAAGAAGAGAGAAATCTTAATGGGATAAAATGCGTATAAAATGGAATTATGTGCATATATAAAACCCATCTCTAATCATATCAGGAATTAGAAATCTAGAAAAAATATAAATATATAATTAGATTTTCTTATTCTTAGCATAATACATAGAATTTGCTAATTACAGTAATCAAAAAAAATAATATTTAAATTTTAATAATTTAACAAATTTTACTTTAAAATTATAGTTATGTTTTATCAAAATTACTAATTATGCTAAAATTATTAAACTACATCCAAAGCATATACAAAAAAAGCAAGAAAAAGCTCTTCTAAAATGAATATTACTTACAAATAAACCACTTAGAATTGTTGTTGAACCAGAATATAAAGAAAAAATGGCTGAATTTGATCCATCTTTTATTATTCCCAGTGAGCATAAAATTCGTACAATGATAGCTAAAAGCTATCAATATAATCAAAATAATCTTCAACATTTGCTAACTGATATGGTAGACTATATTTCACTTACAATGGATTTATGGACATCATGAGCTAAACATGATTATTTGGATATAACAGCTAATTGGATTACTTTAGATTTTAAGTTTAAAGATGTAATGATAGATATAATTTATTTTCCATCTCCATATACTGCAAAAGCAATTGCAGATACCTTAAATAGAGCTATTAATAAATGGAATCTTCAAAATCGTATTACTAGTATTACAACTGATAATGGTTCAAATATAGTATCTGCTATTTTAATTTTAAATACAATGCAAAGTTATAGTACTGTAAAACATCTTTCATGTGCAGCACACACCTTACAATTAGTAGTTGGAAAAGGTTTATTACCTGTTGAAATAATGATTGCTCGTGCACGATGATTAATTTACTTTTTTAAAACTCAAAAACATATAGAATACTTAGAATATGTTTAACAAAAACTTGGTTATAATGAAATACTTCACTTAGTTCAGGATGTTCCAACTCATTGGAACTTTATTTACTCTTCATGGAATTAATTATTTTTTCTTAAAGATGCAATTATTCAAATCCAAACAGATTTGTGTACATCTATTAATTGAGATGAAAAAAAAGATGGATTTAAATTAAAAAAAATAATGTTGTCTGATGAAGAATGGGATTTAATAGATAATTTAATTGATTTATTAATGCCATTTGAAGAGGTTATCTGTGAATTGTTAGGAGAAACTTATATTACATTAAGTAAAATAATCCCAATTATTAAAGAATTTATTTTTGAATATGCAATTAATTCTTTATCTACATTGGATAATATAGAGAATTTTAATGATAATATAGATTTTTAGCAGGATAATAATGAGGATTTATATTTAATTGAGTCTGAAAATGATACAGTAACAAGTAATTTTACTAAAAGCAAAATTAATATTAAAAATCTGTTAGATACTGAAGGCACACTTGATAATGTTAAGAAAAATATATATAATGCACTAATATATTATTGAAATGTACTACATAATCTAGGTTATATAGCATCATTATTAGATCCAAGATATAAAAATTGGGATTTTATTGAAAATGAGAAAGTAAAAAGTGAGCTTTTTCAGCAACTTCGTAATGAGTATGAAGCTTTAAACTATTCAGAATCTAATTTTGAACTACAAAAAGATGTTAATACTACATCTTTAAATCAAGAAACTTTAAATATAACTCACTCACACAAAGAAAATATTCAACAGTATAAAAATAAAGGAAAAAAGCAAAAAAATCTTGATACAAATAATAAAAATAATGAGATATTAAATTATTTATCTTTACCTAAGACTTTGGAAAATGAAAACCCTCTAGAATGGTGGAAAGGACATATAAGTACTTTTCCAAACCTATCTAAACTAGCGAGAAAATATTTAACAATACCAGCAACATCAGTATCAAGTGAAAGATTGTTCTCTGATACCGAAAATTTAATTAATAGTAATAGTATTTAAACAGATCCAGAATTGGTTAAAAAGCGATTATTTTTAAAACATAATCTTAAGTCAATGCAGGTTTTTGATCCGGAATAGGATGAATCTTAATTAAGGTTTGTCAAAAATTTAAATTATTTTCTGCATACAAAAGTCATAACAAATGTACTAAAAGAATAACTATTTTTGAAAAGCATATTAATAATAAATTTATAATAATAAATTTACAGATGCATAATAATTGGCATCAGAGTTTTTAAAAAAATTAATCAAGTTACAATTTAGCTAATATATTAAGAATATATGTTTTATTGTTTTTATTAAGTTTGTATTAATATATTTAACAAAAGCCAAATTTGACTTTTGCCTTTTGTATAAAGTTATTATCTTGTATAACTATTTAAATATAAAATACAATTTTAAGTTTTGAGGGTATTATATAAGCTACAAGTAAAAATAGTCACCACTGGTGCTTCTGCCATACTACTTGTGTTAATTCCTACTATTTATTTTAATAGTCTGTTAAATAGTATTTATTAAATCATATGAGATTATTTTGTATATTTGTCAATTTTTCTATCTCTACTTATCTATTCTTAAATAGTTATATTTAGATTTATTTTTAAGTAACAATTAATACAACAATATCTTGTTTGCTGATAGCATTCTTGATTTAAATCAGATAAACATATACATGATGTTGAGTAATTTTATTATAGTTGGATTGTTAATAATTAGTGCTACTTAATAATCCAGATTATAATCCATTATCCTTTATTCAGATACAAAATCAGATTATCCTTTTTAAAAAAATCAGATAAGGATATCCTAGGATTAAACAGATTTACAGATTAATCCAGATAGTTCGAATAATGGATCATATTTCTAGAACCAACACTTGTGATCAGGGCTAACTATTAAACTACTATGCTCTTGTAGAGTTTACTTAGACCCCAGCATCTACTTCACAGCATAATCCTGATACTTTAGTATATCTCTGCCTTTTCTTCTGCCCTTTTACCAAACTCCCAATCCAAATAGTCCGTATAGGACTACGATCAGTCCATTAGTATATCAGGTCAGCCTGATATTCTTTTTCTTTGGTTCATTTTGATGGCCTAGTTAGTGGTACCTTCGAGACTCCCAATCCAGAGGTTCTTGCCCATCTAGCTACTAAGACTGGGTACTAGACCTTGGTATCCATTTTTCTGGGCCAGCCTTTACAGTAGGGCCATAGAAGATCTAGCTACCTCTCTACTTAGGTCTTCCCAAATAGACTTTTTGTTATCCAATTTTAAACGAATTTATATAGCCACAAGGACTTATCTAATGTTTGCACTGCCCATATATTGGTTTGCATTCTTCTGTATAACTTTAACATTACACAGATGTCCCATGACCTGCCAGTCATGCTGATGTGAGCACCATTACAGGTATTCTAACCCAATCATTAGTAACAGTTGTCATAATATAAATATTACATAGATGATTATCCAAATTTTTGTTGTCGATAGAATTTGAACACCCAACCTACCACTTGGAGAGTTGACAACCTGATCACTTCATTAGGTTGCCACACCCCTTTATTTGATTTATTTTATAAATCAGATATAGTATATATGTCATTAAATTATATACTAAATATTCAAATATAAGTAAGGACAACTTTTTTTGTAAATCTCTTGACCAAAAATTAATAAGAAGCAAAATATAGAAAAAATCACAAAATCTACTAGGAAGTGATACTTAGATACTTAACAAAAAGAAAGAGCAATAAAAGTTGCATTTAACTAAAAAACAAAGATATAAATAAAAAAGTTTAGAGGTACTATAACTTGAAAAAATAAAATATTTTTAACAAAGACTAAAATTTTGTAAAAATTTTGAAAAATCTCTGTGACCCTATTATGAAGATCAATTTAGGTTATACAAAAGTACAACAAATAAACAAAGTAAATGAACAAACATATATACTGAAGTAGTCTATTAGAATAAGTATATAACATAGAAACAACTAAACTAAACCAACTAATAAATAAAATAACAGTTATCAATATAAGAGAAATACATATAAAATAAGACCTAAGAGTCTATTAGAAAAGGTGCTAAAAAGTTTAATAGCACAGAGCTTACAAAGAGTTGGCAACATTGAGCTAATCAAAACATTAGAAATAACAAATATCATAGAAACAAGAACAGACAAATATATAGCACTACTGTTTGCAACAGATATAGCAAATATAGTAGCAATAAGAACATTAAGTAAAATTATTATAGAGATTGACAGAAGAATCAGATTAAAAAATTTTAGCTTCAAAATAAAGAATAACTTACAACAGAAAAAAAAAAGAAAAGCAGAAAGCACAAACAAGTTTGAAGAAATAGCTAAAACAAAAAGCAACATAGAAAAAAAAAATCTGAAGAAGAATTTGAAATATACAAAACAGATAAGAAAAAGGTATTAACAAATAGAAAACAAAGATATATAGTACAAGAATAAAATATAAAAAAAGTAAAAAGAAATAGAAAGACTCTACAACAAAACTTAAGTTCTAGAAAAAGAGAACAAAAAAAAAACAAAAAAAAAGAGTTAACAATATTGCAATAAAATATAACAGAAGTACTACTAGAGCAAAGCATCTAAACATCAGATAATAGATCATGCAGTGATGAAATATCAGTAACTGTGAAAATTTCTGCCTATAATGTTCAAGTGAAACAAAAAAAAAAAAAACAAACATGATAAAATGAATGCTTAATACAAATAAACATATTACAAAGATCAAAAAAGTTTTTGTAAAAGATAATAGTTGAATTGAAGTATTATTTGATTATAAAAAAAAAAGAAAAGAAGCAATCAATCAGCTAAATTGAAAAGTTAAAGGTTGGTTTAAATTAATTTCAGATAAAACACAAAACCAAATAGAGAGCAAAGAAAAACAAAAAGTTACAACAAACAAACATAGAATGAAGAGTAGAAAAATAAAAGATCTGAAGACATAAAATAGAAAAACTCCAAACAAGAAGAAACACATCAAAGCAAAAAAAAATAAAAAAAAAGCTAAAAGGCTGCATGCAGAAAGACCAGAAGAGGCAAAAATACCAAGATACCTGATAATCTGTGACTTACTATTGGACATTAATAAAAAAAAACTAAAATATATATGCAGAAGCATAAAAAATATGCATATAATACAAATTAAAAAATCACAATATAAAGTATTAGCAGTTATAGTAACAGATTATTGAAAAGAGAAAGACAACATATAGGCATTACTACTTGGTAACAATAAATTAGCAAGAGTAATAAAAGAAAATAAAAACTATATGCAAAGAGAAAAACAAAACTAATTTATATCAAAATTATTAAACATTCCTAAAGGAGCATCATAAGTGTTGATTTTAAGATATTTGAGAAATAAGGGAGCAAAAGCAGTATACATATTATCTAACAGAAATGGTAATTAAAAAAAGTTTACAATAATTACTTTTGCAAATGCTCAAGAAGCAAAGACAGCTTAAACAACACCAATATAATATAACAACTATTGAATGAGATGAGAAAATTCTAAAAAAAGAAAAATTTAAGAAAAAGAAGAGTCAAGAAACAGAAGACAAGAAAGATCAAAGTCAAGCAATAAGAAACAATTGAACAACAGAAGACAAGAAGTATTAAGAGTCAGAAGTACAAAATATAAAACATAATTAAAAGATATAGAGAAATAAAAAGTAACCTTTAATTACAAAATATAGAAAAATGATCAGAAAACAGAAACATTGATATAAAAAAAAAAGCAATCATAAAAAAAAAGAAGGCCAAGACAAATACATTAAATTAAGAAAGAACACTATCAGTAAAAAATGTTTTGTGCCAAATACTAGAAAAACTAAACAGAATAGAAGAAATGCAGTTAGAGGCAAGAAAAGATCTAGCCGATCACTTTTGAGAACATCTCAGTTAAGTTTAAAAATACAGATGAGAAGATCAGAGCTTTTCTGTAAAATGAAAAGTAAACCTTTAAAGAAAGAGAAAAAAAAAATCTCCTAGTCTGAGAGAAAGAAAAAGCAGAAAAAAGAACAAAAAAGCTAAAAATACAGAAACAAAACAAAACAATTAAAAGAAAAATAGAAAGAAAGAATAAAAGAACTAAAAATAGCATGTCACAATATCAATGAATTGAAAACTAAAGGCTGAAAACTCAAAAACCTGCTGGATTAAGCAGAAAAAAAAGAGATTGCAATATTAAAAATTACAGAAACAAACATTACTGAAAGAGAAAAAAGGTTTCTAATGCATACAACAAACAAAAAGTATATAAAATACTGGACAATTGCAGCAAAAGATAAGAAAAAAAAATCAAGTATAAGAATCTTAATAGAAGAATAATAAAAAAAACATGTAGATGCAGTTAAGAAGATAAGTGAATACATAATAAAGATCACACTATACTTCAAGCAATTGGAGTTAGTAGTAACAGAAGTCTATATACTACCAAATAACAAGATCATAAGAAAAAATATTTAGCAAATGATTGTAAAAATAGTTACTAAACAGAAAAAACAAATATAAGTTATAATTATGAGTGACTTCAATTATACAATGAACAATATATTAAATAGACAATATTTACAATCAGCAAATTTTAAAAGATTATCAATTTTTAATTAGATAAAAAAACAAGACTTTATAAATATATACAGAG